TCAAATCCACCCCCCCTTTGGTCCATTACGGCTTTTGAAATACTTTCGGCCATGCTGTTATAATGGATACTTTAATACCCTTTCTGCTACTTCATATGTCAAAGGTCCAACAGTTTGAGAACAAAGAGTCTCCGACATAGATGGATATTGCTGCGCTCAATTCCACAATGAATATATTTTTGTCTTGCATGAGATATCAAAATCCATAGCTGGCCTTCTTGCACACTGGATGATAATGAGAAACAGCAGATGGTGTGGTATGAAAGCAAGATGGGTAGCAACTTGTGGCATTGCCCCAGGCCAGCCTCCACCACAGCTCGTATGTTGTGCTACATCTGACACACACACACACACACACACACACACACACACACACACACACACACACACACACACACACAAAGCAGGGAGATCCTGTCACTTAAGAGATTGTAACATTTTTGTAAAGACCTATTGGATGCCCAGGATGGCCCATAATATTTCTAAATAAAGACCTAAGTGAAATAAAAATAAATAAAAGTACAAAAATGAATTCTATTTTGACTTTTCTTAATTTAGATATGCCTATTTAGGTAAGATTTCAGTGTTGGAAGCAATTTCTCTGACCTAAGCATCCAGGTCTACAAGCTCATTATTTTTGAAAAGTACATCTGTCATCAGTTCTATTTGAAATGAAAGGTTTTAATTTAATTTTTACCTGACTCTGACAAATGAGAAATAGTTGGTAATTAGTCTCTTTTGAACAATTATGCATTGCATAGCCTTTTAAAATAGCCTTTGGGATGAATTTAACAAACTATATTTTTGGAAATTATTGCAATAATATATTTCTTGTTTCATCAAGATTTTAGTTTTTGGGAATATGTGGGTGCTGCAAGGATCTTGATGCTGTTTAACTTGTTCCTAATTTATCTGGATTTAGGGATGAATAAAGGTGAGACCAGCTGTGTAATTGACAACAAATAACATGATGTGGTTAAAACAAAAAAGGACAATGAAATGTCTGACAGATCTGGATGAAACGGCCATTACAATGGCAAGTGGGTTTTCATGAAAGCAGTGTGAGGTGGTGGGGGTTTGATGTGAACTCCACATATATGCTAATCACATATCACATACATACCAGTCTGGTCTCTCTAGCCAGTCACTGAGTAGGAAAATAATCTTGATGCTTGAAGCAGCTGTGAAAAAGTCCTATTCCATTGTGGCAATGCTTGAGAAAGGAATCTTCTTTAAAAAATGCCAGTAGTGCCTTTAAGAAAATGTCAGTAGCTAGGTCTTAAATGCTATGTACAGTTCTGGTTGCCATGCCTTAGAGAGAAAATTGTAGCGCTGGAACATGTGGGGGGAAGAGCAACCAAAATATATATGGTTTCATCTATGTGGGGGGAAGTTGTTAGCTTAAGGAAGGATCTATAAGGAGGGACATGGTGGAGTCTTCCAGAAGGCATCATCTCATTTTGCAGTGTGCAAAAACGGGAGGGTGGGAAAGATTAGCCTTCGGTTTGATCCAGGAGGGCTCTTTTGACTTCACAAAAGATAATCAGTCATGTAACAAAGTCATTTTAAAGAATGATAGCTCATTTAAAATTAATAAACGAACAGTTAAAATTATCCATTTAAACCATCCGCTTCTGTTAAATGGAGCAGCAATATGTAAAAATAGATTGTGCTTGTTTTTTGAACTTTTTAAAAAAAAGCAGTGTAATGCGAGGGGTCAGCATGACTGAACTGGGCTGTTTGTCATGGATTTACTTCAGGACTGCTGGTGTCCGCCTTGGTATCACTTGGCATGTGGCCGTTCGTTTTGGTGTTGTTCACTGTTTGAACAGTGGCTTTGGTTGTGCCGGGGCTACTTTCTTCCTACCTGTCCATTCAACACTGCTGCCTCTTGGGGTTCTGTGTGCCCAGTTTGATGGCATTTGTAGCTTTCCCTGGCTTTGTTTGTTTTGTGGCACTGCTGGACAGCCACTCAGAAAGCAACCACGACAGAGCTGTAGCCCTTTATAGAGTTAAGAGTGGCATTCTCCCAAACTCTGTCAAATTGGGAAAAAAAACCTTTGATTACCTCTGTTTTCATTTTAGGGATCTTCTGGACAGGGACACAACATCTATAAAGCATATATTGTATACAGTGGGGTCTTGACTTGAGAACTTAATCCGTATTGGAAGGCGGTTCTCAAGCCAAAAAGTTCTCAGTTCAAATCTGCATTTCCCATAGGAATGCATTGAAAACCATTTGATCCGTATCTGCTCTTTTCCGTCCATAGAAACTAATGGGAAGCTGCTATTCCGCCTTCGACCACTAGAGGGGGATATTTTGTTTCTTTTTTTTCTTAGGTCAAGAAAGGTTCAGGGAAGGCAGGGAAAATACAGTCCACGCAGTACCAGGCAGTCTGAAGACTGTCTCCCAATCCGCTCTCTAAACGGTGGGAGGAATGAGGAAGCAGACAGGCACCCTTTTCACTGGCCAACAGTTAACTGAAAGTTCAAATTTTGCACTTTCCCTGCCTCCCACGTGGTTTTTTTTCAGTTCTTAACTCAAATCTAAGTATGTAAGTCAAGTCAATATTTTCCTATGAGAGTGGTTCTTAAGTCAAAATGTTCTTAACTCGGGCCGTTCTTAAGTCAAGACCCCACTGTACATAGGAAAGGCAGCCTCTAATTGTCCAGGTTACAGTGCTCAGTCTCATGTTCTGCTTGAATTAGGAAGACTGGTTTACGTGATTTAATCTGTGCCTGAGTGACAGCTGTTGTTTGCTTGATTGGATTTGCCGTTCAGGTGATTCTGCTTATGTCCTACACAACGAAAGACTTTGGTTCCCTCTTATAATAACAGTAGGGAAGAAGTGCAATTTAGCTGAGCATACCAAAGTAGCAGAATGGGATTGTAAAGTAATGGCGGTGTGGTGTGGTGGAGGAACATCCAGTTGGAAAACAAAGTGGGGTGGCTTTAACAACAAATGCGAAAGAGCAAATTAGTTTTGAAGGTGTGGAAAGAAAGAAATGATGCAATAGGGCAAGGGTGTATCTGTGGGAGGAGAAAAGCAATGGTGGGGAAATAGAAGATTATCCCAGATTGTCATGTTTTGGAAGCACGGATAAGACTAGTATCTTAAATAGTGGTGGAGAAAATACAGAGCAGTGCCATTTTGACAGGAAATACTAACAAAAGCAAAAAAAGGCACTTTAAAGACTAACTGCTGTATTTTAATGCAAGCCTTCATGGAATGTGGTCTACTTCTTGACACATGAGTTAGAATACAGAGACTTCATTCAAGGCTCTCCACAAAAGCTAACATTAAAATATAGCAGTGCCACAATGTCTTTTTTTTTCCTTTTGTTTTGTTTTGTATTTTTTTGTTGAAATGCTTGTGCAGTCTAACATGACTACAACTCCAAAAATGATGCCTATATAGAGCAATGACTAGGAGCATCACCTTGAATACAGAGACTTCATTCAAGGCTCTCCATAAAAGCTAACATTAAAATATAGTAGTGCCACAATGTCTTTTTTTGCTTTTGTTTTGTATTTTTTTGTCGAAATGCTTGTGCAGTCTACCATGACTACAACTCCGAAAATGATGGCTATAAAGAGCAGTGACTAGGAGCATCACCTGTAAGGACTGAGCATAAGTATGTAACCTCTGTTTTGGAGGTATCCTGGACAAATGTGTGCTTGATAATAAAGATTGGGGGGGGGAAATCCATTAAACATGGCAATGAGTGATTAGCTGCACATGAATGCTGAAAATTAGTAAGACTGTGTGTCTGTGGTTGTTGTAGGTTTTTTGGGCTGTTTGGCCGTTTTCTGGAGGTTTTTCTTCCTAATGTTTCACAGTCTCTGTGGCCAGCACCTTCAGAGGACAGGAGTTAGAACTCTGTGTTCTGGTGCAGTGTGTGGGATGGTTGATTATTTGTATCTGTAGGATCAACTTTTTGTCCTTTTCAGGAGATTGGGTGATTATGGTGATAGGGTGTTTTTTTAATGGGTGTATTGTTGTAATAAGGGAGGAGAGATGATCTGTCACTGTGATCGATGGGTGTCGCTAGCTAGTTTTATTAGGTGCAGCGATCACTGGTCCTTATGACTGGGTAGAGCTTGTTAACCTTTTTTCAGGCTGTATTTTTTAGTGCTGGGAGCCAGGCTTCGTTGAATTTTAGACTTTCTTCTTTTTTTGTTGAAGCTGTGCTGATGGCTTCTCTGTATAGTTTAACATAATGATTGCTGGTATCTATGCTTGCTGGAATATAAATTTGGGGCTGGTGCAGATATGGTGATGATATGGTGATCGCAGCCTTGTTTACAAAACTCCTTTGTTTTTCACACCCCTGTGAGATCTACAAAGCGTGTGTTTACAAGTGTATTTGGTTCTTCTTTTCTGTCAGAAATGGTGTAACAATTTCATTTCCCCCCCTCCCCATATCCTCAAATGAGAAGAAAAATTTACAGGCAGCTGACATAAATCTTAGATTCATAGGAGCATCATAGGTTGTGGTCTGGCTCCTCTTGACTGAGTCATACCTGACAGATGCTCATCCAATCTGCCTTTTAAGTCTCCAGGGAAAGAGATTCCACACTTGTGTCTGATCAGTCTTGTGCTCCTAAGAAACAGAGACATTATTACTTTTAAAAGCATTGCCTAGTATCCTTCTTAGTTCTTTTTTGCTGCAGTTACATTATGCTTTCTACTGTTTACATATTTATTTATGTATATTAGATTCTTTAGTGGCTGCCCCTTTAAAGAAATGCCTAGATATGGGATAATTTAAACACCAGGACTTGAAGAGGAAGGTCTTTTGAAAGGCTGCCTTTTAGAAAGAATCATGTTCCAACCATCAGGTGCTGATTGTTGTTATGGTATTTCCTTTTCAAACCAAAGAGGCTACAGAAAAAAAAATACAACTGGGGAATACAAAAGAACCACTTAAAATATTTTAGACCTGAAACATCATGTGGCAAACACAAGTATTATTTACTCATTATGTATCCACTGCAGGTCAACCAGAATGTGGAACTCCAGAGGGGTCGCTTGCGGGATGACATAAAAGAATATAAGTTCCGAGAAGCTCGCTTGCTTCAAGATTACACTGAACTTGAGGAGGAGAACATCTGCCTTCAGAAACAAGTGTCTGTTCTGAAACAGAACCAGGTGGGTGCTGTGAGATCCCTATCTCAGTATCAGAGTCAGTTGTACATGTTGGAAACCTTGCTTGTCATACCACAAAATTCAGTCCTTGAGAGACCCAAGCTGGTTTGTATCTCTCTTCAATGCTACAGAGTTTTCACTGTTGGCTTGTTTCACCTGGCACATATTTTGCAGAGTTTAACATATTTTGCTCTGTTACATGGAACACCGCAATGCATCTTGCAGCACCTTGAAAACAAATAATTGCATTGTGGTATGGAACTTCATGGATCACAACCAGCTGAATCAGATGTGAGGGAGGTGATTTCACACAGTTGACCATTCTCTCTCTCTCTCTCTCTCTCTCTCTCTCTCTCTGTGTGTGTGTGTGTGTGTGTAGAAGCATGCCAGTTTTGCTCCTCATTGAGGTTCTGTGTTTGGCAGAAAAGAGGAGAAGATGCATTGGTATTCAGAAGTGACATGCCTTCTCCAAGTTAATCTGAAATAATGAATATAGAGAGGTCTTAGTGTTGAGAAGACAGAGTTTAGTAACATTCAGTGTTGGAAGTTTCACAGGGAAGTAAAACTGAGGAAGCATTCAAGCTTTTCTTGAAAAGGAATGGTCACCTCTGTGCCAACTCCTTGCATGAAGAATCCATGGCTTTCTGGCTCCCAGTGGTACCACATTGACTAATGTCTCTCTTAACTTTTGGTGACAATGTTTGTACTGCAGGTGGAATTTGAAGGGCTGAAGCACGAAATCAAGAGACTGGAAGAGGTTACTGAATTCCTCAACAGCCAGCTAGAGGATGCCATAAGGTTGAAAGAGATATCTGAACGCCAGCTGGAAGAGGCCTTAGAAACCCTGAAGACAGAACGTGAACAGAAGAATAACCTTCGGAAAGAGTTGTCTCATTATATGAATATCAATGATTCCATGTATACCAGCCACCTGAACATCTCTTTGGATGGACTGAAGTTCAGCGATGAAGCCACAGAACCCAATAATGATGAAATTGTGAATGGCTTCGAACAAAACTGCCTGAGTAAAATCAATAGCAACAATAAAGCCTCCACAGCCAAGAAAAATGAGAGCTTCCCTCCAGCCCCTAGTCTTGTTTCTGATCTCTTAAGTGAGCTGAATATATCTGAAATCCAGAAGCTGAAACAGCAGCTTATGCAGGTATATGTTTTTACCCATATTGCTATAGTTTGTGTACACAAGCCAACAGAAATTCAGCATTTATCAAAATGTATGTTTCTTTAGATGCATTTTTGTTACTAGCTGTTATTATTGTTACAACAATAGATCAAGTCAGAGATACATAGATGTAATATAAAATAAATACATCTTTCAGAAAAAGAAGAAGGAAAAGGTGTTGGGGTGATGGTGGTAAGAAAAGAAATTAGCTTTATTAGTTTCACTTAGTTGCTAGACTATCCTTGGACAGTTTCTTACTCCCTTTGGACTAGTCAAGTTGGAGCATGTCTGACCATTGCTAATATACTTGGCTGATTTATCAGTGAAATTCACTGAGATATTTAAGGTGAATTGTACAAAGTTATCGGTCAACCTGTGCCAGTACTTTTTCTTTGGAATTAGCTCGTGTCATAGAGAGATACCGTGTTTCCCAGAAAATAAGACAGGGTCTTATATTAATTTTTGTTCCTAAAAACGCATTAGGATTTATTTTTAGGGGATTTTTTTCATGTACAATAATCTAAATTTATTCAAATACAGTCATGTCAAGTTCTTCTGGTTGCTGCACAATGGTGGAGGGGGGTTTCACTCAACTGGGGCTTATTTTTATGGTAGGGCTTATATTACAAGCATCCTGAAAACCATACTACGGCTTATTTTCAGGTTAGGTCTTATTTTCAGGGAAACAGGGTAAAACTATTTATATTACCTAAAATATCCTTTAACTGTAGATGACAGGACTTTCAAAAGGGAGCTTTAACTTTAATTTAGACTCCTGCATTAAGCAGGGGTTGGAAACAATAGCCTTAGCACCCCTTACAAATCCATTATTCTATGGTTCTGTGACTCGTATTTGTGGAACGTGGGCTGTCAAGGGAGTCTTGGAACTTTTATGCCAGGAATTCAGAAAGATAAAAGTTATATTTTATTTATTACAGATGGAAAGGGAAAAAATGAATTTATTGTCTACACTCCAAGAGTCTCAGAAGCAGCTTGAGAACACTCGGGGAGCACTTTCGGAGCAGCACGAGAAAGTGGGCAGGCTCACAGAGAACCTCAATGCCATGAAAAAGCTGCAGGTCAGCAAGGAGCGTCAGTCGGCTCTTGACAACGAGAAGGACCGTGATAGTCATGAGGATGGTGATTATTATGAGGTCGACATCAATGGCCCAGAGATTTTAGAATGCAAGTACAAAGTGGCTGTAGCAGAGATTAGCGACTTAAAAGAAGAGCTAAAAGTCCTGAAGAGCAAATATGAGGAGTGTGTGTCCAAATACGAGGAGGAGAAGAACAGGTATGAGACAGAAACTCAGGCTCTGACGGAAAAGATTGCTTCATTGGAAAAATCTAGTAGGCAAGATAGGGAGCAGGTCGTCCGGCTGGAGAAAGAGCTCAAGAAAGTCAGTGACGTTGCCGGGGAAACGCAAGGTAGCCTCAGTGTAGCCCAAGATGAACTGGTCACCTTCAGTGAGGAGCTGGCCAACTTGTACCATCATGTCTGCATGTGCAACAACGAAACTCCAAACAGAGTGATGCTGGATTACTACAAAGAAGGTAAAGGAGGACGCACCAGTCCAGAGGGCAAAGGTCACAGGTCACCAATCCTCCTCTCTAAGGGATTGCTATCTATAGACTTAGGAAAATCAGAGAATGGGAGTGGAGACAGTAGTCCTTCACCAGTTTCATCTCTCCCATCGCCAGTATCTGATCCCCGAAAGGAACCCATGAACATTTACAACCTGATTGCCATAATCCGTGACCAGATCAAGCATCTGCAAGCAGCTGTGGACAGAACAACCGAGCTGTCTCGGCAGCGGGTGACCACTCAAGAACTTGGGCCTGTAGTGGACAAAGATAAAGAGGCTCTGATGGAAGAAATCTTGAAACTGAAGTCTCTGTTAAGCACCAAGAGAGAACAGATAGCAACTCTGAGGACTGTGCTGAAGGCCAACAAACAGGTAAGTGTGTGTATGTGCGTGTGTGTGTGTCCGTGTGTGTTTGTGTACTGCTATAATTTTACATAACTCACACTGTAAAAAAATTCAGGAGGTAAATTATGATATTCATCCAGCCATGAAATTGTTTATTAGTTACCTACCCAGTGAATTTCCACATTCTAATCCTTATGTACGAGACACAGTAATTACATTGGAATAAGTGCAGTCTTTATCGGCTTCTTAATTTTTGCCAGCAACATTTGACTCCTTAACTTTTGAATCCTTAACTTTGAGCAGGGCTGGCAATCTGTTCCACTTTTTATATTTGCAATATGTTTTCCATTTTGGAGGTCAGTCATCTGATATGGTGGTAAAGTCTCTTTTTCGGAAACTTGTCGTTCAGTTTGTCCTTTGATGTATGTACAATTAAAATGAGGCAAAGTCACACTTTTGATGAGATTTTTGATAGATAAATCCACCCATCACAGAATAATGGAGTTGGAAAGGGCCTATAAGGCCATCAAGTCCAACCCTCAGCTCAGTGCAGGAATCCAAATCAAAGCAGATCTGAGAGATGCTTGTCCAATCTTCTCCTGAATGCCTCCAGTGTTGAAGCACTTACCACCTCCTGAGGTAATTGGCTCCATTGTCGTATTGCTCTAACAGTTAAGAAGCTTTTCCAGTCAAAATCTGACTTCCTATAGCTTGAGCACAGGTGTCCTGCACTCAAGTATGAGTACAGATCCTGCCCTTCCTTTGTATGTTACCCTTGCCAACTTGAAACTGCAAGAATTTCAAAGAAACACAATGTAGCAGTAACGGGAAACTTCATTTATCCAGATATCAATTGGGATACAAATTCTTCCAAATACAGCCCTTCCAAGAAATTCTGGGCTCGTGTGGCTGATAATTTCTCCTATAAAAAGTGGAAGAAGAAAGTAGAGTAGCTATCCTTGACTTGATCCTAGCCAACAGAGATGGCTTAAAGCTTATGTGAACACCAGTAGGATTCTGGCTAGTATGTCACTGAACAGTAGTTGCTTATAAGCAATAGCAGGAAGTGGCTCAGTACTTATGAGTCATCTTGTACCTCCAGTAGACATTGATCTTGAAACTGTTATCATAGTCATATATTTTCAACTTGTCATTAGGCTTCAGAGTTTCATGACAACAACTGTGTGGTTGTTGGTCTTCTGTCTCTTGATAAGTTTCCATTTGAAATTCTGTGCAGGAGTTCTAGAATGCAGGATGCTTACTGCTTAACTGTTGGGTTTCTTGTTTAGGCAAATGAACGGTATTCTCAAAAAAGATAAAATATGAATTGTTTAAATTATGAAATAATTGAGTTACTTTGCTGAATCATCTTTTTGGAAAGATTAAAACTTCTTTATTGAAATACTTTGTGAAAAGTTCAGTTAACTATGAACACTTCCCCACACCTTCTCTTTTTGGAACACCACAAGACGGCAGAGGTTGCCCTTGCCAACTTGAAAAGCAAGTATGAGAATGAAAAAGCCATGGTTACAGAGACGATGATGAAGCTACGCAATGAACTGAAGGCTTTAAAAGAAGATGCTGCTACCTTCTCTTCTCTGAGGGCCATGTTTGCTACCAGGTAACACACAGTCAAAATTCAAGTCAAATCTTTTACAGAATAAATAATAGAACTTGCCTACTATAAGGTCAGTCTTCAGAAATACAGAGATCTTACTCTGTGAGTGTCATGCATGCACAGATGTGCAAACTAAAGTTCACGTATTCAGAGGCAGGCAAAAAAAAAAGTTAAAACATTTTCTTTAATTGCATGCATTTATTTATTTCCGTGTAACATTCTCACAAATACACATAACACAATCTCTGAGGTTAAAATACGTGTTTATAACATGGTAAAACAAAGGTGTCACTAATTATATAAGTTTAGTGTTCTCTACATTAAAAAGGCAGAGAAGGTACAAATAGTAATTTAGAGCAAGAGTGGGAAAGATATGGCCTTCAGAATTTTGTCATAAAGTAATTGTGTTTGTCCTTCATTCAATTTGACTACTTTAATGTAATTGTGTGTGAAGGATTTCTTCCTCATATGCACAGAGCTGCTGCTGCTGGAGGACACAGTGATATATCCAGGGCCACAAATCATTGTGCTCTTTATCTGCATCTTGTAAATAATCATATTTCATAGGGTTCCTTTTTAAAGTCAAAATGCTGAATGCAATATATCGTGGAAACAAGGAAGAACATTTCCTTTCACATGGCAATTTTTTTGGGATGGCTGCAGTGAGAAATTATTCTGGAAATATAACTTAGGTAAAAGCTTCAAATGGTAAGATCTAGCATGGAGGCTCAGGTGGGAGAAGACAATGAAGCAACTGTATTACTGTGTGCAAGAGGGATTATATACTGTATATGCTGGCTGTCATTATAGTTTGATATAACAAGACAATCTGCATGTCTGACTACATAATTTTCACAAACTGCATGTGGCATGAACTCACCTGGCAACAGAAAAGGGGTGTTGCGCCATCTGTGCACAAATTGTGTTGCGTTGGGGACTGGATGGAGATCTTTCATGAGGCTACAATTTATCTTGACAACATTTGGAGCAATGGTGTTGTAGAATATTTAAAAGGCTGCTCCCTTAAATAGGGCCTGAATTTTGGAAAGCTGTATTTGCAATTCTGTTATTACCTAGTCTTGCACCTCTGGTTAAATCAAGAAAAGAAGCAGCCTACAAGGAAGTCTGTAAAGTGAATGTTCCAGGAGTAGGGTATTTTGTGAAATGAAATGTGCCACAATGCATGCTTTTTACGACTTCCTTTTTCATGCTAACTTAATGCAGTGGTCTTTGATTTTTTCTTCTTCTTTAGCATGATTTTTGAGCTCTTGTGTGCTATTAATTAGCTTATTGTATATTGCTTGCTTCAGCCATATTTTCTGGCCTGCTTTTTGAATTGAAATAAAACTTTTAATCAATCTTGCAAAGCTTAACATATACCTCTCACATAAATCTTTCCAAGTGCCGACCTGGAGTATTTTATTTCCTATGACCAGTGAGAGTAAAGGACATGAATGAGATGTATAAAGGTACTAAATGCACCTTGTAGCATTTAGCACTGTAGGATTGCTTGCCGTATTTCCTAGCAGTGAAGTGCTAACCAGCCAGACTTTGCACTCTCATATAAATTTGTCAATATTCAGTGTTGCGTATTGGAACAGAATGGAGGTGAAACAGAAAAGCATGATTTTGCATGCTTGTTGTATTGCCCTAGTAAGAAGTTACTAGCCTCCTGACTGATTAAAGCTGTCTTCTGCCAAGGAGTGAAAAAAGGAGGATTTCTTCTTGCTGTGCACCAGGCCCAGGTATTTTCTTGCTACGCCATTGCCCATGAGCATAGCACAGAAACCAGTAGAGCCCAATGGAAGAGAGACATTTTTTTCCCTCGAGACTATTTGCTTTTCCAGATAAAGTTCCTTGGATTTGGCCTGCATGCAATTTCTTGTTGCCGATAGCAACCCGGCACCTGTTCAAGACCAGGCTGAAATAATATGTCTTGTCTTCCGAAGGACTAGCTGATTTTTTTTAATGAACAGCTGCTAAAATTTCTGTTTAAAGACCAGCTGCTGTTTAGCAAAAAAGTACTTCAGGGAAATCATTTATACAGCGAATCAGAAACAGAAATTCACAGATTCCCTTGCCTTAATACGGTATACTACAAAGAGCTTTGTGCCTTACTATTATTACTACTCCCCAAAATACAAACAGTAACACATTATCACTGCACTCGTTCGTGGACATCAATTTGTACAAATAGGTACAAAGTCTTCCCATATTACCTCTTGCATCTTTTGGTGAACCTGCAGGTGGCCCACCTCCATTTCTCCAGATTCCCCTCCCCTCAATATGTTATACGTCAGTGCGACACTTTTCCACCTACAGGTCAAGGTTAAGTTCTGCTTTCATCCTGTTCCTAGTACCAATGAGCTGTAATGAGGTCCATTTAGCAAAGTTTTAGATGGAGACTGGTTTACCTTGAACTGGGATCTCATTCCCATTTTTCATTGTGCCCTCTTCATATTGCACCCAAGTTATGGGGCTAGAAGAGTTCTGTGGGACAGGCAGCCTTTTTTTCTATTCTTCCACACTTGGCCTTCCCTTCTCACTCTCACCCCAAATCACACCTTCATTTCTTTAGCAAAGAACAGTGCATCAAGGCATCTTGATGAAAATACTAAACTAGCACATTCATTGATCAAAACAGATAGTTGATGTGAACAAATTTAGAATTAGGAATGTTCAGAAGCATAAAGAAATAGAGACATTCTAGACAGAGCACAGAGTGCTGTCCTCTGAAGATCCCGGCCACAGAGACTGGCGAAAGATTAGGAAGAACAACCTTAAGAACATGGCCAAAGAGCCCGAAAAACCCACAACAAACATTCTAGACAAATGATCCAAAAAGGGGGAAATATTCTACCTGTTGTTGCCATGGATTTAGGAGACTCAAGGCACATTCTGATCAGCACTCACTCATCATCACAGGGTCTGATCAGGAATTTCAGTCTAGCATTTCAAAGAATAAAAGTAAATAGATTTCCAAAATCAGTTCCATTGATTGAGAGATTTTCCCATAAGCATCTAGGGTGGTGTTCATACATATAGACCAAGGCATGTGCATATCTCAGATGCATTAAGAGATTCAGCTGGCATCACAGAATATCAAGAGGAAGGAAAGAAAAGGCTTCCTCAGTCTCTCTATGATGTCCTTGATGTGATGTCTTCTTTGGAGATCCCTTACCCTTCTCCTTATGCAAGCAGCCTATAGTCAGGTATACCAAATCATATGGTGTATAATTGGACCAGACAAATCCTGAAATAATCAGTGAGGCACCTTCTGGTATTATCCACTGCTGTCCGTCTTGGGTGTCCCTGCACGGCATAGCCCATAGTTTCTCTGAGTTACTCAAGCCCCTTCGCCACGACAAGGCAGCAATCCATGAAGAAGTCAGCAACATCTGGAGGGCCACATTTTGCCCGGGTCTGCACTGAGTGGAAGGAACAGTGGAATCTTTATATTGTGAGGAAAGAGAGCTGACTGGAATCCTGAGTTACATCTCTGCCAGTTTTTCAGTCTCTATCCACTCAACACCCCCAGAGAGTATGTGCATGCTTTCTTTGATGACCTGTTTCAGAGGACTGTAACAGTAACACTGAGTGAGACAATGTTTTGCAGAGCCTAGCTAGTATTTATTTGATCAACAAACCAGGTTTATAAGTAATCTTTGTTTACTCCTTTAAAAGTAAACAAAGCCCACTCATTGGCGCAGACATGATGCTGCCTTTTGGCCAACGTCATGTGTGGCCAGCCTTCTCCCCAGTGCTGAAGTTGGAGTGGGCATGAATGTCCAGGGAGCTACTTGATGATCAATGCTAACCAATCCCATTCTAAAGTTGGGAGGAAGGAAGTCTGGGGATTTGTCCAACTGTGTGGCTCAGTGCCCCCAAAACCTTAACCATGCAGGGCCTAAATAACATGTGAACACACACACACTTTCTACTGGGTTTGCCTGCAGTGGAGCATGAAAAGTGGGGGGAGGGAAGGCTGCTGGTTTAAGACTTATGTGGTGCCTTCAGATTATAGAAACTAGCAGTGCATAGTCCCCACTTAAGTCTTTTCTGAGGAAAACCGCTGAGGCACTGTTGAGTGCCACTGCTGGCAGCACCTGGGGTGTCTTCAGGCAGTGGCACTATCTTCACCTTATTGACTTTTAGGATGCAAAAGCTTGACAACAAGGGGGACTGGTGACTGAAAACTACCTTAGGGCCAGCCATAACCTGTAGGCTGTTGTGGGAATAAATAATTGTTTCATGTGTGTTAAGACACAATCCTACATGTTATACCTGTTGGCAGAATACCGTTGGTTTCATTTTCACTAGTAAATTGACACAAATTAAGAAGTGAGCATAGGCATTTTCTTTTGTACAGACTAGTCATGTTAACAGGTGTGTAATAGAAATGCCTACACTGCATGTATTAGGAAACATGTTCTATTCGAAGTAAAAGGAAATTACTACAGAAGAAATCTGCCTAGCTTTGGGCTTTTAATATTTCAAAAGGAGGGACAGTTTGCAGTTGAGGTTAATTATAGTGGATGGCGTCATCCAAAGATGCTGCTTTCAGTCTGGTTTGTTTGCTCCACCCTGCTGCTTTCAAAGAAACCGGCTTGAAAGTCACCACACTGATCATGAGGGAAGCTACAAAGTGATGAGATGGGAATAATTAATGGCAGTTGCCACTTTCAAGTAAAGATCATATTCTGTATTATATTATAATGACATGCAGACTGGAAAACATCCTGGGATTAATTAACCATTTTGCAAGTGTGCTGTAGAGTCACAGAGTATTTAGAATAAGTGTGCAGAGAGGGTATGTGATGCTATTAATAAGTCCAGCTTCTGCCCTACTGCTTTTGAGGCTCAGAAATATAACCTCTGGGTTTCTGTAGTTATGTAGGTTTCACTGCTGCCTGTAAGACCTGGAGTGATACTACACAACAGGATTTTGGCCAATTAAGTAACTGAATAAATAAAGGTGCGGAAAACATTTGTTTTACACATGTTTTAGCCTAGAATTCTGATCAGTCTCACTAGGATAGATTTGATTTAAATCAAACCAATTTAGACCATACTCTAAATTTTTAAAAATCCGATTTTTTGATTATTTTTAAAAACTGATTTTTAAAATTTAAATCATGATTTAAA